TGATCCTGGAGTCCCGGGATCGAGTCCCGCATCGGGCTCCCTGCTCGGCAGGGAGTCTGCTGCTCCCTCTGAACCTCCTCCCTCTCATGCTCTCTGTCTCTCACTCTCTCTCTCTCAAATAAATAAATAAAATCTTTAAAAAAAATAAAAATGCTGGCTATTGTAAGCCTTACTTTCTAGGAACCTTAGTCAAACTTGGAATCAAGTATTGATTTCAATGTATGTGATGATTCTGAAAGTTTACGTGCCATGTGAATGTGTTAACAGAAGATCAAGGTACATTATTATGAAAGCGTGTTGGCTAGAATTACAGCATGCCCTTATAAGAGAGCAGCATGAACTATTCAATTACCATCAGGTCACTTGAAACCTGTTCGGAGCCCTCTGGGAAAATAATCCCATGGTTTGGGATTTTAAACTTCTCACCTGACATTTGCAGATTTCCTACTCCTTGAGTGTGGCAGCAGGTCTTCTGTGTGAATGTGAGAAATGGGACAAACATTTAAAAAATGAGTACATCTAGAAGACTGCCATTAGAAAAAGGAAAATCTAATTATTTGAACTGTAGGAAGTTGATTAACTTGGGGGGGCTATAATGAAGTATCCAGTAATTAGTGCAGGGATGGAATGTAGGGGGTCTGTGAGCATGCATAGAAAAACAAAGTCTTTATTTTCACTAACCTACAACTGAAATTTAGAATTTCGTTCCATTATGAACATCAGCAACAAATCACACTAGCTTCAGCAGTACTTGCTTGTACCTGTTGCCAAGAGAATCACAAATATTTTTATGCCACATAATTGCAGGTATCCTGCAACAAAATTTAAACTCATCACTGTCTTGGACAGTTATTAGACCACTTCTAGATCTTGCAGTTTAAAGATTTTATTTATTTATTTATTTATTTATTTAAGCGGGGGGAGGGGATCGCACGCGCTCAAGTCCTTGCCCACAGAGCCAAGGGAGGGTCAGAGGGAGAGGGACAAGCTGACTCTGTGCTGAGGGCGCTGCATGAGTGGAGTGGGGGTGGGGGGGCAGAGATCATGACCTGAGCCAAAATCAATAGTCAACAGTCGGCTGCTCAACTCAGCAACCCAGGCGCCCCATAGATCTTGCAGTCTTAAAGTGTTAATAAAAGGGTATATGTATTACTATATCACCAGTTTGTTTTCTATTATTTTGATAATTACATTTCAATATACTTGGCTTCCTTTGTAAATCCATATATTTTGTTTTATGCATTCAATAACACTATCCATAGAAAAAGTCCATAAGCTTCACCAGACTGCTAGAGATCCAAAGGTTTAGAATGCTTAATTTTTAGTGATTTCCTAAAGATGTCTTTCTGTCATCCCACCAATTTTCTGTGTTGTAAAACATCATGTATTTCTCTTTCTTAGTTTCCAAGCCAGCACCTTATTGGGAAGGAACAGCTGTGATAAATGGAGAATTCAAGGAGCTCAAGTTGACTGATTATCGTGGGAAATACTTGGTTTTTTTCTTCTACCCACTTGATTTGTAAGTAATACATGTACAGGTCCTAAAACAGTCAGTCATTATCAATCATTATTCAAGAACATCAAGTACAAATTATTTTATTTAGCTCTTGGTTCTTAAAAGGCAAGCGGAGATGAACTTTTTCAAGAAAGTAACATCTACCATGTATTTCAGAACCAAAACCCATTGACCCCAATACTTTATCCTTAAATCTACATGATTGTGTTATAATATAATCATCAAAGAAAGGAAAGCTACAATTATATTAAGCTATACCTACTAAGGCAAGAAAATGGATATTTGAGAAAGCATTTAATAGCAAGACTTACACCACAAATCTGTTTAATGTATCTCTCTTAACTAGAAAATTAACCCTTTACAATGATGATGCCACTTAACTATGGTTTTATCATTTTTATTCTCTGCTGCATCTATTGCTTTCCTGTGGTTTGAACATTTTCCTGAAAATACTGCATATGCTTAAGAAATAATACCTATTAATATAAATTATGCTTATTAGGGGGAATTTTCTCTTTAACTCTGATGGTGAGCACTTTAGATAAAAAGTTGACTCAAATAAATATTCCTGCAGCTTCATTCTTATCGAGGATATAGTTTTATCTGGAGTGTTTTTCAAATTCCATGAAAGTGAAAAGGTAACAAAAAGAGACTTAACCTGACTTTTATCTTTTTTCTGTTTGAGTATGTTTTTTGGTTATAAAAAAGAGAACTTCTATTTTGCCACTGTATATTAAGGTCTTTTTTCCATTAGGACTAACCTAGAACTGTGTAAATAAAACCTTAAACTTGCAGGGAGGATATACTTAAGCTCATCTCTATAGATTGTCTCTAGGCCAGAGGTCAGCAAATTTTTCTATACAGGGCCACATAGTAAATATTTTTTGCCTTGTAATCTCTATTGCAACTACTCAACTCTGCCATCATAGCACAAAAACAGCCATAGACTATACACAAATGAATGAATATTGTTTTCTATTGAAAGTTTATTTACAAAAAATAAGGTAGGCTGGATTTGGCCTGTGGACTGAAGTTTGCTGACCCCTACTCTAATCCAAATAGGAAAAATTCTCAGAAAAATTAGTTCACTGAGACTAAACCAAGTCATAAATGTGGATAATACATAATCTTTTAAATTAGTACGAACTTCCTTCTTTCTAATCAACTTGTACTGTGGCCTGACTAGCTAAAATGTATGATATAACTTATTTTCTAATAAAAACCAGAAGTACAAATTTTAATATATAAAAATGATAGGCCTTCTAAATTCATGTTGTTATAAAACCAAAAAGTTAACACATCTGTTAAATACGATGCTAAACGTGAGTTTTGAAATTAGTCTAATATAGCAGACAAATATCCTGTTTATCCCAGTGTTACTTAAAACTCCGTAATGAATAAGACATATCTAAAGCATGATGTCACCAGTGGCCTCCTAGGGCAAGAAGCTAAGATCGCTTCTTTCTGTTTCCATGTGATGCCAGATTAGGCCTGGTTAGAAAGGAAGAATTCTGAGACATTTGCCACAGTCTGCAAGTATGAAAGTCAAAAAAATAACCCTTTAGTTTTTTGCCAGAACTTTTTCTCTGTCTTCACTAAGAAGTTGGATAAATGTATTTCTAGGTAGCATTTGTTGGAATAATAGGAAGGCAGGCAGGGGCTGACCATTCCTACCTTTGGGAAAATATTAAAAATACATATCATAGCCCAGGTTTCCAGAGATATAATCTAGATTAGAACTGTCTGCCTGCATGTGGCAGTCCTACATTTGAACAGCCGAAACCTCTGAAAAGCCTGTATTGGGCTGCAGTAGGAATTTGTCCCCTCAGTCTGTGTTCTTCTGACTTTCTTGACCATGACCTGAACACAGTACAAAATCCATTTTTCATTGCCACCCAATACATTTACATATACATACAGGGTAACATTCAGTCTATAAGCACCAGTACAGCCGTGCTGATTAAAATCCTGAAACACTTCCATACCAAATGGTAAATAGCCACTTTCCCAACCTCCTCCCCAAGTTGCCCCTCCCATCTGGTCCCTTTCAGAAACCTCCAGAGCTAAAGCCAACTTTGAGTTAAGGTTGTTCAATATTTTTAGTATCACTCCTGAACACACACACACACACACACACAGATGTATGTGTATGTACATATGTTTCATGACTTACCCTTCCTGTATATAAAGTATTCTCGTATTTTCTATTCCACTTGTTTAAAATGTTAGTTAGAACTCCATAAACTGGCTTAAGGAGTCCCTACCATGGTTCAGAAAATACTACCCTAAAGTAATATTCTCTAAACATGCCTTTCTGACAAGAGGACTGGGAGACAAGGTAGAAGAGAACCTTATCAAGAAAGGGAGGGGGATGGAAGAGCATTTTCTCATCTCTGAAATAAAGATCAGTGCATCTAGCTCATAGGAGTGGTATAGGAATATTAAAAAAAAGTGGAATGATGGAAAATTTGTATAGATCCTTTGAAAGCTGTAAAGCACTATATAAATATAAAGCATTGTTAAATAAAAGCTAATGAAATAGGACGAGGTGCTGCCGTAACGGAGAAGGGAACATTGGTTGACCACGGATCCATTAAGTTATAAAAATAACATTTATTGAGATGTAATTGGGAACTCTGTAATATACATTTTTTAATTAAATGATATTTGATCAAATAATCTTCTAGACAGCTGCATTGTGACAATGTTCATATATAAAATTGTTCTTAATATGCATTTTTATATACTAAAGGTGTTTGTAAAAACTAAGTCATTTGAAACTTTAAGTATATGCATATTTTGAGAATACTGAAATTTTTTTTTAACTTTCAGCACTTTCGTGTGTCCAACTGAAATCATTGCCTTTGGTGATAGGATTGAAGAATTCAGATCTATAAACACTGAAGTGGTAGCATGCTCTGTTGATTCACAGTTTACCCACTTGGCCTGGTCAGTATCTTACACTTAGTTTTGTAGGGGGGAAAAATGGATTTACTTTTCAGTTATAGGCAGACAGCTCTCATTGTGATAGGAATATAGGGGTGTTTTTTTTTTATTTTATTTTAATTATGCTTTACACCCATGGGGCTTGAACTCATGACCCTGAGATTAAGACTTACATGCTCTACCAACTGAGCCAGCCTGGCACCCTGGAATATAGTTATCAAACAGTTTGGGAATAGATATATCTGAGAGCTACCAGTTCAATGAAGTTATGGTAAAAATGCTTAAGGATTTTGTAGGACATTTCCAAATTGGGAAAAAAGCTCAGTGCAAAAGACATAATATCCATAGCAAACACAACTGAGTTGTATGATTATTTTATTATGATAAATTGGGTAGCCTTAATCTGGAAGGAAAAAAATTCTTTAAATTCCATTTCTTTGTTACATAGTTGTCTAGTATTAAGTCAAACTCAAAATACCTTTTGTAATTATTTTTCAAGAAGCTTTGATTTTCTTAATTTTTAAATGTTTTTTTAACTCATTAAACGTGAAAAGATGTTTCACCTGATTAATTGCCAAGAACTGCAAATTAAAATGACAAGGGATGCCATTTTTTCCCCTGTCTGATTGGCTAAGATTTCAAATATTGAAAAATTTCATCCAGTGATGACAAAAATGTGAAGAAATGGTCCTCTCACACATACAGTTGGTTGAGCATTTCTGGAGAGCAGTTAGGCAGTATGTTTCAGAATCTGAAATGTGTGTGTTGATGTAAATTTTTCATGTCCAAAATTCTGTGCGCAAGATTCTATGCACAATAAAGATGGTTCAGAATTATCTTAGTTTTAGAAGTTAATATTCATTTCATTAAAGTAAATTCAAAACAACTTTTTATCCATTTACAATTATATAGAGACATATATATATATAACTAAAATTTTACTGGTGAGGAGCTACAATTTATATTCTCTTAAGTAATTAATTCTTTCAAGTATTTTTAAATGCAGTTATATATTTATTTGATTTGCTTTGTGTCTCAATTTTCAGATAAAACTTCCAAGAACTTAAGTAATTCTTGCAAATCTAATAGACAAATATGGCATGCCTAAAGTTCTTTAAAAAATGTTTCTTTACTATTTATAAACTGAATAAAATTTCACATTATACATTTTAAATTGGAATCACAAAGTGAAAACGATGGGTTTAATTTGCGTCGTCACTTCTGTAGTAATTCTAAATCTTTGTAGGATTACAACATAAATCCACTAAGGAAAAAGTTATATCCCCCCAAATAATTTGGGATTGGCTTCTCAAGGAATTTGCGGGGGATGCATTCTGAGCTGGATAGGTTTCATATCAACCAGAGATTTCTACTTGGATGTCAGAACTGGGGCTGCAGACATCTGGAGCAGTATTTCCCTGTTTGCTAGCTGCTTGGTCAGTACCCTCCCACTGGGACACCCAGATTCCCTGGTTTCAAGTAAAAGAATGCTTAAATCTGACTGATGTGTCTGAGATTATAACTAACTTCCTTCCCTGTTTCAAATGGACTTTGCATTCCTTTGTCTCAGAATATTAAAATATCCAGTTGTATTCTGTCTCTCAAGGCTTTGTCTTGTGATCACAATTCTAAGGTTATGGTTATGACAGTGCATATCCTTTGATCCATCAGTTCCTCTTCTAGGAATTAATCAAATAAGTGTTCAAAGTTGAGAATACATAGATGTTTCCAGCAGTGTTGATAAAAGCAAAAGAAAAATGGAAATAGTTTAAATGTCTAGCAATAGAGATTGGTAAAATACAGTATGTCAATACTTTAAAAATGTGATATGTATCTCCATATTTATTGTTTAAAGGAAATGAATATATTAGGTCCGGAGTAAAGGCAAAAAATAGAATGTGTATTAGCCTGTTTTTGTTAGAGAGAGAATGTGTGTGTTGTGTGTTCATTCATATGTATGTGATGGAGACAAACAGTGCTGTTTGGATACATTTACTTCGCTCTGAGTGGTAAATGTTTTGTTTGTTATAGGATTAATACCCCTCGCAGACAAGGAGGACTTGGGCCAATAAGGATTCCACTTCTTTCAGATCTGACCCATCAAATCTCAAAGGACTATGGCGTGTATCTGGAGGACTCAGGCCATACCCTTAGGTACCTTTCAGTGGTTTTATATTTTGACAAATCCAAATATATTTGTAATCCTCCCTGAAATGGAGTTAGAAGATACAAGGTTTGATCAAGAAGAATTATTTGCTCTATTTGCAAAAATGTTGTAGATACTGTTTAAAATAATTGGTAAGTGCCCTACTTAAATTATGTGAGTATCATAGTCTGTTAAAGCTTGAGGATTATTTAGAGGTCTTTGACCAACCCTGTCATTTTGCAGATAAACAGATTCATAGAATTCCATGAATTTAGCCAAAGTTATATAATCAGTTAATGGTAGAGCCCACACTTGAACCCAGGTACCCAGACTCCTTGCCTATTTCTTTCTCCTCTTTTCTAAAATCACTCCAGTAATGGTTTTTCTAAATGCAAGTATCCTAGTATTTAGCAAACTTGTGCCTTAGGGAGTGGGACAAATTAAGGAAGTGCTACTAGAAGTCTTTGGTAAAAGGACAACTTTAGCTTAAAAGAGTTGTAATTTTATTATAATTATATTGTCAATTTGCTTTACTGTGCTAGTAGTTTTTTAAAATGTTTTATGTGAAGGTGCCAGTATTTTATAATCCTATGTTTTTTAATAACAGCTTTATTGAGATATAATTCACATACAACTCACCCATTTAAAGCATACAACTCAGTGGTTTCTAGTATAGCCAGAGAATTGTGCAACCATCACCACAATCAATTTTAGAACATTTTCATTACTCTAAAAAGAAACCCCATACCCATTAGCAGTTACTCTCCCTTTCCCCCAATCCCCCTCCCCTGGCCCTGGACAACCACTTACCTACTTTATGTCTCTCTGGTTGCCTATTCTGGACATTTCATGTAAATGGAATCCTACAATATATACTTTTTTATGACGAGCCTCTTTCACTTAGCATATGTTTTCAAGGTTCATTCATATTGTATCATGTGTCACTACCAATAGTTTCTTTTTTTGTACTTGCCAAGTCTTTAATGTTTTCTCCTTTCATAGAGTTTATGACTAAGTTAATTCCCAAAAAGTAAATATGCCACTATAAAGACTGAAGCTATTAAGCTATTTTAAAATTTGGGATTATTTGAACATTAACCAAGTAAAACCAAGTAACCCCAAGATCATGACCTGAGCTGAAATTAAGAGTTAGCTGCTTAACCGACTGAGCCACCCAGGCACCCAAGGCATATTTGTTTTTGTGTGCTGTGTGTTGGTATGATGTATGTTACCAAAGTAAGTTCAAAATTTCACATCAGACTCACTCACTTCAGAACAAACTTCATCACCAATGACAACAGTTTTCTACTGTAGAAGTAGCTACATGAAAGAACACCCATATGAATGATCGTTAAAAGTTTTACCCGAGTTTGGCCAAGTTGACCTAGTCAAAGGAGAGTGAGCTCTAGTTGGTTCAGACATCATGGTGCTCATTAAAAATATATATTGTGGGGCGCCTGGGTGGCTCAGTCATTAAGCGTCTGCCTTCGGCTCAGGTCATGATCCCAGGGTCCTGGGATCGAG